ACTGTGAGATTTTTCTTTTTGATTTTTCAGCATTTTCCCCCCTCCCTACTTTGCGCTGATGCGGTTTTTTTATGGATTGGGGTATGTCTTTATTAAGGTGAAGGAGGATTCGTTGCGAAAGAAATTAGGGTGTGAAACCACAGCCTGGGAGGGCGGTGTTACTAATTGATGGCTACTTTCATTCCCTCAAATGTGACCATCCTTTGTAGAAGTAAAGAGCATACTGCCTAGAAGGTTATGTCAGTCTAAGCTGCAGAATGCAGTACGTTGGGAGACCGTGGCAGGCAATATTAAGCTGCAAAAACGGCCTTCAAAATAACCGTTCAGAAATGAATTCTCGCCAAAGGAAATCACCGAGAGAATATTAGGTAATTCGCCGCATTGCTGTTCTTCAGTGCCACGAATTGGGTCGAAGAATGTGCCACAACTCCCGAACGGTGGTCTTGAACTCTGTGTTTGTAGTATTTTTGTAGTTTTGATCAGATAATGGATATTGAGACAGATTCAGGGAATGTGGAAATATTCAAGGCGCGGTAGAAATCGATGAAGACTTAAGATTGTTTGAACTTGTAATAATTATAGATAATAATTTGAAATAAATATAAATAACATAAATAAAAATTGTGGAAGTGCTCATAAATGCTAGTATTTGATACAAAACTGGAGGAGTATGCTGAAGAAAATGCATAGAAAAATCAGAAATGAATTGTCGAAAAATCATTCACACAAAACAGAAACACTTGTAAGTCCAACTTCTCTCTTCGTAGGACCTCGGCATTGTTGTGATTATTGTTGTTTTTTGTTGTTTGTTTGATTTAATTTTCGGCAGAAGAATCACATTATAATTACAACCTGAACTTAATCATAAGCTGAATATTGATTATTTTTCTCCCTCGACTTTACTGCTAATTTATAGAACTCCGTTGTCGTGTACTACTACTGTTGCTTCCTACTTTTCGAAACGATTTATGTCAGAGGCTTTGAATCGACATATTGAGTGTCATATGCCGATGACAATTCTTTGGCTATTTTTTATCATCTATACAAAAGGCTGTATAGAGAAAATTATCTCAAATGGCAACACTTTCGACGAGAACGAACCTTTTTATAAGATCCCTTCTCTCAACAAATCGATTATATTAATTGTTCGACACCTAGCGATGAGCTGAATGAAAAGGTAGTTTGGGATACGTATTGCTAACAGCTAGCTTCTTAATACATGAATAAGTACATATTGTATAGATTTAGACTTTTATAGCATACTTTTTGTATGCGATACGAAGTACTAAGGAACGTTAAAGAAGAACCTTTGTCCTAAACCGTAGAATGAGCCCGGTGGGTCGCTGAGGAATCAGACAAAGCAAATCTTGACCAAACATATTGGTGAAGCGGCTTGAAAATTAATTAAAATTATTGTTGACTTCAGTTTATTGATTACTGATGAATATGCAATTTTTGATTAGCTGGGTGGTGTCCACGATGCATTTGAATCTAGGTCTCAAAGCGGTTGAGTGCATGTTGCAGTTGATACTAGGGAAAAAATGGAAATCAAAAAAGTTTCGACCCTTTTTATTTTCGTGGCTTCTTGCAAGGTAAGGCAGTACGAAAGCCGAACCAACAGATTAACATTAAGGATCAAACCTAATGACTTCATTATGGCACGTTAGATAAAAACGGATTTTTCAATGTTCTCATTCCTAAATGATTTCCATCATTAGCGGGCTTCTGAGCAATCTAATCGATTTATCGATTAGCATCGCTGCTGGGAAATTATCCATCCAATGTGTGAAAATTTATATTTTTGGCATTACTGAGCGTCATAGAACAGAACATTTTTTATATAAAGCCCTTATTCAGTAAAGTGACAGATTTGGTGGTTTTGGCAGTAATCCACTTAGAATTTTCCCGACACCTGAAAAGGTCATTTCAAGACGCAAATCACATTACGGCACATGGAACACACGCGGGCAGCATACAATACGAGGCGTTTTTTTCCTCGTGATAAACCTGACTCATCCTGAACCTGGTCTATGTGGCTCGCGACGTTTTCAATCCTGTCGCTTCTCGCCGCCGTCACCGTTGCCGCCGGCGCGCCAGCTGGTTCTTTCAAGGACAACTGGGGGTAATTTCATTTCTAATATTGCCGACTCTGGAATTTTCGTATAATTTGCTAATTGGTTTGGAGAAGTGATGGGAAGGTTTTCACTAGGGGTCTTAAAAAGCGGTTATTGAGAGTTTTTTTGGGAAAATATGGTTGTACTGCAAAATTCGGCTTTCATTTTCGCCCATCTAAGATCTACCACGGGATCAATTCAATCGATATATCGATCAGTCTAGAGAAAATGGTAATCGCTAACGGATACATGAAGGTCGGTGTTTGCAAATTTTTCTATGTGAAATAAAGTCGTCATTGAGCCCAGAAAAAAATTAGAAGGGCTACTGTGGCGTTACTTAGAAACCCGAAACCGTTTCCCAAGACCTACGAAAGTCGGACGTCACTTTTTTGACACCCCTTCCTTGTTTCCACTCTCTCGAACACCTCTTACGTATGTCTCTGTCCTTCAGAACTACTACAAAAGGGTCACCAAAAATGGTTTTTCTTATAGTTACAATTTTTATAGCTTTGTTTGCACGAGTGCCTTCGTACGGGATCTGTTGCTCTCAACCGGTAATAATTATACTAAACAATCCTACTATATATAATCGGCTAAGCGGTGTGTGTGTGTGTGTGTGTGTCTGACCGGAAATTCATAACTTCACTCCCTTTGGACCCAGAGCGCTCAAACTTCTAGGATATATGGGGGGCTGGACACAAACACTGATGATGGGTGGCGGGAAGTGATAACTACTGATAGGAACTGATAACGGACGCCGAAATGATGATGTCATCAATTTCGTTACGCCGTTTGCGTTGACGGTGGACAGTTTGCACTCATGCATGATATGTGGGGTGAGGCGGGGACCAAGAAGTTGAGTGAACGAATGTGGTAGCAACTGATAAGAACTGATAAGGGGCGTCAAAGTGTGGATACCACCAGTTTCGTTGCGGCCCTCGCAGTTACATTGGAGCCTTGGCTCTCACATGTGGTATAGGGGATGGGACGGGAACACGGATAGTGGATGATCAGAAGTGATAACAAGCGATAACGGTTGATAAGGAAGTTAGGATTTTGAGTACCGCTAATTTCGTTGTAGCCTTCGTGTTGACAATAAATCACGAGCTCCTGCACGTTGCCTGGAGGGTGGGATGGGGACACCGATTGCGAGCAGTATGAACTGATAACAAATGACCAGGAATGATATGAGCGTCTGAATGCAGGTCTCTCCAACTTTGTTATAATTATCACTGGCAAGCGATTAAGGTGGCGAGGTTGAAATTAGGCGACAGAAAGTGGTATGAGCGGCAACTGTACTGATAAAAGTAGCGAAAATTGAGCGTGCACTCAGCTGAACTAAACCAGGTCCCTAGCACGTGAATATGTCCCATTCCTATCTTTTCATTCAAAGAAGCTAAGAAGCTAAGAAAGTTGGGCTGCTCAACTATCTGCACTTGGACTAACAGCGAATTTCCATTATATTTGCAATTTCCATCATAGCTCGATTGGATCCTGATTGATTGATTATATTTCACTTACACCGATTCTTCAATTGTGGAAATTCTATAAACCGCTAAATCGCCCGAGCTCGATATCAATGCTAAATGTTTACGAAGTCATGATAAGTACTATTTTCATTCCGCATGCTACTGCGCGCATTACGCGACAATCTTCAGCGAAATTGGACAACCTTTGAAACTTCATGTGACACATCTTCCAAATATCTTACATTTAGTTTCTCAGCCACGTGACCTAATATTCTACAAGTTGTCCAGTTTCACTGAAGCCCTCAATGTGATGCGCGCGGTTGCGTGCGGAGCTAAACTGGTATAATAAACGCAATATAAATTTTTGAATAATAGTCTTCATTCATAAAATTTCCTCTTCTTCCGCAGGATCTTTAAAACAGGCAAACCTCTGTTAATGTACAGCTCCCTATGGTAAAACTCCAGTACGGGGGTGGGGGAGGCACTTTATTGTGCTTTCCATCCTGAGGGTAACGAAAGTGTCTTCATGACGTCCTGAGGTGCTTTCAGACTTCGGCCTGCTGTGGTCCAAGGAAATGATTTTTAACGAGGGTGTGGAATTGCCTTTCCTAGCCGCAAGGGTTAGGAGCCCAGGGTGTTCGATCACACGCCATAAGCTCTCTAGGATGTGAACAGGATGTGGTGGGGCATACCCCGGAATCCTTATCAAAACTGCGCTTGAAATGAGTCGTTTAGTCACATCTTATCCATATGGTTAAACTGCAGGGTGCTTTCTAGCACTACGGCTAGACAAGAAGAGTGCCCCCCGCCGCCTAAACTGGAGGCTACCGCTTCTTATTATGGAGGAGTCGTTTTAAACCCAACAGCCCGTCCAGAGTGCTTGTGCTCCCAGAACGCCTGGCCAAGATTATGCTCTGTGTACCGACCCGTCCAAAACCGCGGTTTTTTGGGGTTTAGTAAAGTTTTGGAGTTGGAGTCGGTGTAGCGGGAAGCGGCGTAGCATGCCGCGCACATGAATAAGGGTGAATTTCACCCCTACCAACTGACACCTTCCTGCTTAAAAGGTCAACCAATTGGCACTGGTTCAGATATCGTCTGTTCCCGCAAGTCATTGCACAGCCCACATCGCATTCAAACGCATCGGCAATTACGGATGGAATCAGAATGCGTGGCGCGCCCCAAAATTAATTAAAGTCGAAAGTGTTATTCGTTTTCTATTGAATTTTCTAGATGTATGGGTGATGAACATTGGCTATTTTCAAGTTACGTAATATGTGTTTTCCGAATAGGCTGTGATGCGGAACATTACAACGTCCCTAATTAATCAATTAATTAATCAATCACCTAATTAGCAAATCAACTGGTTAGTTTATCAAATCAAGCGATTCGCTACAGATCGGTCGCCCATCAGTCGCGCATGAGCAAAATCGCTGAATTGGTCAGCGCTGGTGATGTGGATCCGTCAAAGCCGGTACTCGAGCAGCCAGGCGGACCACCACAGAAGATCATTCGTGAGCTGCTGAGCCGAGATGATGAGGTTTGTGGAGCATTTATCGTAGCCGGGAAAGACCTTTTTTAGCCGTGGCTGGCTATTTTTTACCTCCGCTTACCGCAGAGTTTATATGGCAGCTTCTTCTTTTTTACTGACATTTTCAACTTGAATTTTTTCTAATATGAAGTCTGCAAAATCCCCTCTCAGCGACACCATTTTGCTGTTTATTTCCAAGGGTACTGTAGAATTTAGCGAAGGAAACCCGAGGGAAGCTCGTTAATTTGTCAGGTGCATTTCGTTCGCGTCCCTTTTTTTCATAGTGTATAGGCTGTAATCAGTCACAATCACGTATAATTCGGCAAACTAAGGTGTTGCTCGCGGTGGTCTCTGCTTTGGTGCGATCTGACCGCACACGTGCCATGGCTGAGATCAGGGTCAAGCATGGCCTCTTGGGGAATTTCCCAATGGACCGATCTCCCCCCTTTCCTAGCAAATCTCTACATCCGCCTCAAATACTCACAAATAGGTGTAGAGTAGCCAGCGGAGCGTATAAAAGAGGAGGCGGTAGGAAATACTTTCTTACTAATGCTGAATTTTTTTTTACATGGGAAAAGACTATGGTGCGCCTCTTCCGAAGTCAAACTTGCGTTTAGCGAATCGATAGCCGGTCGGTTGTATTTTACGATCGAAGGGGGGCGGATCCTATCTCGGGCTATGTAGGGTGGTCTTTCAGGGAAGACTGGAGAGAGCAATGGGGTTAAAAGGACATAAAAATGTCCTGTGGAATTTTTCAAGCTTTTCGATCATCGTCATCGTTCGAGAGAGGGGGGGGGGGGGGTTGAAAGGTGTGCGACGGATTTCAAAACTGTCTTCACGCCTTAACCTGGGAATCCTTCCTCAGGTCCCTTTACAACTCCCTTGATGAAACCAAATACAATCTTCCTCGGTCGAATTCTGTGACGCATGATTGAGCCCTGCCTAGGACGTGATTTGTCCGTGTGTGTTTGTGTGCTCAGTCCGTATTTGGCGTACGCGCCTAAGTTCCTAAGCCAATCACAATCATGAATCATGGAGACGACGACATCAACGATGGCGCGGCGCGTTCTATTGTCCTAGACGAGGCGTACTGTTGATTCTCATGTAAATGAGCGACCGTGAAATCAATTCGACTACGCAAATCATCACCGACCCCGCCAGCCCACCTCCACTTACGGCCCTTCCCGGAAAATTATAGAGGGATTGGTCACAAGAGGGAGGGATATCCTGTGGGTCAAGTATCTGGATTGGCGGTTTAGGCTGCGAACTGGCCGCTATGATCAAATAGACAAAAGTTGCAGGCAAGCGTAATTGGGATGAACTGCCCCAAAAAAAATAAGAAGGATTGTTGAAGTATGGAATCAGTTACTACTCAAACGGTACGAGTAAATTGCTGAGACAACTGGAATTCGTAATTCCACGAAAAGACGGGGTGATGCGTTGTTGATTGTCTCTCCATGAGAAATTCTGTCTACCGGTGATAAGAGTAATTAGTTGCCAGATAGCAGCCTGGATTTAGAGGCCCGTTATTTTTTGCGATGTTCTCCTGATCATAATAGTCATTTCTGTTAGCAGCTTCTTCGATTTTCCCCGTAAACGCTGAGAATATGAGCTTGTCATCTGTTGATCTTATTCCAAAACCGCGTTGACACTTGGATTTTACTTGTGATGTTGTGGAGAGTCCTTTGGGAGGGGAGGGGGTGCTGAGAAGGCAGAAGTTTTTTCGCCTCTTTAAGTTCTCACGGCCTCGCCTAGTGCAAAAGTCGAAGTGGTACAATATCCTGAACTTTCCTTTCTGTGATATTTTCATCTGAACGGCTCTATGGAAAAGCCTTTAATGCGGAGCACAGAACCATCAGAAGTTGATTGGATCGAAATCCTTCCATCCCTTGTTCTCTGGACCTAGGCTGCTAAATCCCAACGACAATTCTGTAGCTCTTCACTACTTTTCTTCATTTTCCAGTATCCTTCTTGCCATCTAGAGGCACTACGGTTGGATGGCGCAGTCGGTAGATACCGTCGTATATTGGACACGCCATTCTGTTCCGTCCATATAGGACATCGTTCAACTTGGGATGTGGCCTGCTCTCGCTGCCAGCAATCAGAAAGCCGACAGAGGGTCAAACGAGGCAGGTGGACTCCTGCTTGAAGGTAAGGATCTAGGCCGACTCGGGGTATTCGAAGGGAACTCCTAATTAGTTTCGAGGTAGAATTGAACAACCGGTCTCCTCTATGAAAGCTCGCTGAGGGTGAAGGGAAATTCAGGGCCCTAACCTACTCCGATTATGGGCTAATTGCGATGGAGGATTCGCATGGAGACCTCGGACTCGAGCCATGTTTCCGTAACGTATATTGATAAGTCCCGCATTGACTTCTTGGTTTTCATTTTTGCCAACCCTTAGGGCCAGTGTCATTAAAGTTTTCAACTGTATGGTTTGATGGTACGTAACTGGCCCAATATACTCCTGTCCCGGGGCGATGGGATTGTGGTCGACGTAGGGATGGGGTCTCGCTTTCCGAGCTGCTCCCGCTCGACTGTCGTGCTGCGGTGGTAAGGGAGCCGACGTTTTTCTCCATGGGCTCCAGTATTTCAAATTTGAACTCCTGCTGGGTGAGAGGTACTTTTGGATTACGAGATTCATCTCTTTAATTAGGGGTGAATTACATTTGTGGGTATTTTTGGAGATGAATATTGGTGAATTTCGGGCGTGTAAGGAGGCTTGCTGTCCGGCGATGCGCTCATCAAGCGAACACCGCTCTGATGTGGACTCAGCAGTCGCCAATAAACTGAAAATTTGAATCCTTCCTGGGTAGGAGGATGTGGTGTTCTTGGTATTGAAGATGATAATTTCTGCAAAACTACTCTTTCGCTCGTAATTACTATGTAGGAGTCTGCCATCCAATCTGTGCTCGTTGTTTTTCTCGGACGTGCGCCGCTTGTCTGCTGATGAAGTGAAATGATCGGCGGTTTTCGGCCTATTAGGGGAAATCGAGGTCATTTGCTCCACGGCTAATTATTTTATACTGCCTTTAACTCCGAAATCCTACCAGTTTTGTGCTCGAAATTGGGCGGCGGCTTTGTGAACTGGTTCTGCATGACAGATGTCCGATTATGGATCCCACGACGTTCACTGATTTACGTATAGTAATGCTGATTCAACTAGCGCTCGCATGGCTGGCTTTAGATGACGATAGGGCCGTTGAGGGTACATGAAAATGTTTCTTTTCTTGACGATGCCGTGCTACCAGGCGCGTGCCGTGGCCGTGGCCGTGTCACGACTACACATCGCAACACGATATATGAGATGGGTATCAGCTCGCGCTTTCTTCGGCGTCATCGTCGTCATCATCGCCGTCCATCGTCATCGCCGGTGGTGTACGTCGCGTATTACGGTAATTGTGGTGTGGTCGATATGGGTGCTCTGTGGATGGATGGTGTGTATTCATTGCGCGGCGCAAACACTGGCACCAACCGCGCTCACACTCAGACCCTCACATTCACACACACACACGCAATGACAATAGCCCCGACGATCATTGTTCAAACAAATCAATTAAAGGCAAGTTTGGAGGTCGTCCATAATTACGGCTCTAACGTGCGGCGCTCGGCACGCGCTCCCAGCGCTATACCCCCTAACCGCGGCAATCGCAACACTCACAAACCGATCAGCATATGTGTAAGTCGGGACGGACCGCTCTGAGCCGATGTTCGTAATAAACGCTTGGACATTGGCCAGAGCTTTTCGAGGATGCGCCGTGCACTCAGCATCTGTTTGGAATCTCAAAGGCATTGAATGATCATTTGAACAGCATTTGGATTAGGAGGCACGCAAAAAAAACTGTGGTTACTCAAACTCCATTCGAGGCAATCAGGCGTTCTTGGGAACATTTACCTAAGCATACAGTAAGTTTTTTGCGAAAGCCACTTGAAGGCCAGGCTAGCAATGTCGACCCCCCCCCCCCCCTCCCCGTCCTGAATGACTCTTACCAGGCTAGATGATATGAAACTTCATTTGACTCTTTATTTTTTGTTTATGCCATCGTACCATAGGCTAGACTGAGGAAATCACACAACAACGTTATTACTAGGAAACTTATAAACTGAAGTCTAAACATCACAATTCCTTCGTCGCAAGGCGTTTTAAATGTATAGGAACAGAGAGAGATAGATGTGAGGTGGCTCTGCTTTGAGTTGAGTGGATCTATCTTTGTATCTATTTATTGTTGACCTATGAAGGACGACTGTCTTAGCTTCGTTTTCGCAATTCTTGATAGAGTAGCGGATGCATGGCGCGCGCTTCCGAGTATCACAAACTTTCATTGGGGCCCAATCCCCCACATAAACTTATCAGTTCTTTTATACGAACCCTAAGTGGTCCCCCAAAACCAGAATGAACACAAAAATGTTTGTGGACACACGTATCCCCCACACGAAGTAATTACGAGCTCCCCATCAAAATCCAACGAAAATCAATCATTATTCAATTCTGAACTTTTTCATGTTCTGATTCATTTCAATTAATCAGGACTACATAACAATACTTTTCAATATTTGTCAATGGATTAAAAAATCAAATTAAACACCTCTTCAATTTCAGCCATCAAACGCCCACCAACAACAGAACGTGATGACCATGTTTAACATAATGAACATGCTGATGGGACAGAATGCTGGTCTTCAATTGCCATTTGCCTCACAACAACAGACGACGTCAAGTGGAGGTAGTTTGATACGAAACAACAGATTGCACACAAAATCCGACGACTATTTTTCAGGAAACACCCCTGAGGTTGACGAAGAATTTACCGCACCGAAGAGTGCCGCTGCTTTGGTGACAATGGTGAAGAGCTTTGGGGAAGAGAAGCTGACTGCGGTGTTGCCATCGGTGGTCTCGAAGCTGTCGCGACTGGGCGAGCTCACTGACGCTCAGGCAGAAACCCTGGCCACCGTGGAATGCACGCAGTGCTCCGAGCGGCTACCGTCGATATTTGGTAAGTTGAGAAAGGGGTAATAAAGACGTGATGTGCCCCTGTCTATACTTGGCTGGGCGCAATGTGGCTCGGGGGGGGCACTACTGAAAGAAGTCAGGACTGGTAAGCAGCAGGGAGCGTTTCGGTCTTGGCGCGATGTTACGTGGTGCCCCTGAGCTACCTCGCGTGTTTCGGTGCTCGACGGGATGCTTGTGCTTCCCATGAGCGGTTCACACTGATGGCTGTGGACTGGTGGTTTCCGAAGCGAAGCTCGGGTCTCATGCAATAAGGGATCGTGTAGGGCGACAGTTCATATACCTGAAGCAATCCAAGTTTTCTCAGAGGGACGAAGCTTCGGGTGGCCTAGAAAGCGCGAACGAAGTTGTTTACATTAGCCAAATTCCCCCCCCCCAAATTATTGAGTGGGGGAATCTTCCCTAACATAATTGGAAGCAACGTGTGCCCACCGCTTTTTTCTTGCTTGAGAACGACCCCGAAGCGCTAATATGTTTGAAGCCTAAGTGCGAAATGTTAGCCGGTGTTTTCTTCGTGTTATGAATCTTTCTCCTGGAATGGCCGAGTGACTGGTGCACTCAGCGCAGTACTGTCGCCGCCTGGGTTCTTGCTGTTACGCTACAAAGGTGGTGCTAAAAGGACGCGGTATGTACTGCGACTGCGCGCGCCGGCGCCAGATGTGCGGCCGAGTTTTCCCGCGTGGAGGGAACGCTCCTCACCCCAACAAAACAATCACCAAAAAAAAACTGCTATTTCATTTTTTAGGCACTGTCGTCGCACTACGACGTCGTCCATTCGAGCACTCTGCCGGATTCGGTCGTTCAGTCGTTTGCCGAGCGAATTTGTGAAATGATTCCCGACGCGGCTCCCACTACCCAAACCAACGGTCATCACCTGTCGCCCGCGGCCAGTCGGTCGTCACGCGATGGCGAACCACCTGAGAAGCGACCGCGATCCGAAGCCAACGTTGCTGGTGAGTTTTGTTGGCAGTTGTGGGAGCACAGGTGGGGTCAGGACAATAACGGCGGCTAGCCATGATCGGCCCAGACTCTCTACCGTCTGTTTTTTGTCCTTCTGGTTGTTTCCTTTTCTGGTATGCGGATTCGCCGCGCCGGGGGTTTGACCTCAGACCGTGGTTACGTGTCCATAGGAATAATCCCTGACTACTTACCTTTCAGACGCAGCAAAGCCTGATCTTGCTCAAATGGCTATGCTAAGCATGATGGGCAGCTTTCCGTTCCTGCCGCCGAATCCTCTCGGAGGATTTGTGCCCGGAATGGGAGAATTTTTCAATCCGCTCATGGCCCAACAGGTTCGCCCTTCACCTTCTAGCTGTAGCCCTTCAAGTAATTACCCCGCACAGCTGTTTCAGATGCAACAGTTGTCATCTTCACCAGCAAAGCGTGCTCGAACGAGAATCACAGACGATCAGTTGAAAATTTTGCGGTCAGTTCAATTTTTTGTGCTGTGGGAAGCCACGCCCATTCAGCTCAGCGACATTCCAGGCAGTACTTTGACATCAACAACAGTCCTTCGGAGTGTCAAATCAAAGAAATGTCACTGAAAGCAGGTTTACCGGAAAAGGTCATCAAACATTGGTTCAGGAACACGTTATTCAAGGTTTGTCCGCAGTTGTCAATTCTGCAAATGCACAACTGTTCTATATACAGTATCCGTGAGCTGCTATTCTGCTCTAGCAAAGCGATCTATACGCCTACTGTAGTTGCTACGAGATATATAGCTGTCGTAGGCTCGCACAATTAGAGGCCAAAGTAGCCCAAGTATGGGCGCCGTTTGAATGGGCGAAATAGCCTAAGTCAACCGTCCGTTAGTATATACCAACGAGGGGTCGATTAGTGTGCTTTTGAGGAGATCATAAGGTAACATCCCAACGTGGTAGGGGGACGCATCAGGGACCCGCTGTGGGGTGTGTAAAATCTTCGATTCCTAGCAACCTGCGATTAACCCTTTCTTGGATCAAATACTAATGCAATGGAGAGCTGTCAGCGCTAATTACTTGAAGCTCATGTGGATGAGTTTATGGCCCGTGGGACTTCCCAGGCAACAGCCAATCATGCGCACGGGTCAAGTTGAGAAGGGACATGACGTCTCAGTCCTTTGTGAGCCATCTGTAAGTCTTGCTCCTTTCCGATTAGCGCAGACGGTAAAGTTCAGAAGAGCTTACGGTGGTAGAGGCATTGAATTCTTCATAATGGCTGTGAAGTAAATGTTCCTCGACAGATGTCATCTTTCCATTACCGTATCCTCGCAAAGGGTACGATGAACTTTACTGGGAGAAGACGACCGGTGGCGCGCACGTCGCACACGCGAGTAATGTTTTGAGCGCGCGCCAGCGCGTGTGACGAATTACCGCCTGGGAAATAAAACAATCGCTAAATGCCGCGAGCTCTTAACCTCTTGACAGATCTGCTTTTCCTGTTTGGGTCTATCGACAGGGAGAAGAGGGGCTGAAAGGGCATTATGGTAGGGACCAAAGTCGTAGGACTACTCTATGGCCGTCGGACGTTTCTAAGGTTTCATTCCTCCATGAGCTACAATTGCGTTGTAGCTGTTTTTGCCTGAATACCCCGGCTAGGTTGGGCCTGCTAGGCTCAAGAAGCCAACAGAACCAGCGATCATGCAATGGAGAACAGCATCCCTGAACCATGCTTAACCCTTCCAGAGTCAATCGTCATCGTAACTTTTTTTGATGATTTTAATGAATTTTATTCAGGAACGGCAACGGGATAAGGATTCCCCGTACAACTTCAGCGTACCGCCACAAATGGGTATCGACCTGGATACGTACGAGAAGACCGGTGAGACAAAGGTTGTGCCGCTCGCCTCTGCAGCTGAGGTACGTCTATAGCCTTCTTGCCATACGATTTTCAAGCAGTGGTTAATTCTTATAATCACCTAGGGGAGAATCACGTTAAGTGGGTGATAGGCAGTTCAAAGTAAAACGCAAATATATCCCAACTTTGCTAGCTATTGCGTGACGGATAACAGACTGGTGAAGCAGAGCCGTGCCATACGAACGGAGAGTGGGGACAAAAAAGATGCATCTTGATCACCTCGCGCAAGAGCAAACTTGTTCGCTTCACAGGAAGACGAAATGGAAAAATCCCAGCGACAAAATAATCCTTGAAAGGAGGCGATTACGATAAAGAGGGAGCGCATCGGGAAGCATGTGCACCACACGAATCAGTTACTTGGCTGCCAGGGAAGCGAGGTGTGGCGCTTTCACGACGAAAGGTGCGCTGGTTGCTGAGCAGGACTTCGAAAGCACTCCGCCCCAAAAGCGATCCGCCCACTAGTTTAGTTGGTGATTTGGACGAGCTGCGTTGCCAGCAGCGGCACAACTGGAGCAACTCGATTGGAGCGTGGTTTGGCATGGTGCCACCAAACGCGTTGCGATGAACTCGTTCATACGTCCGCTTTCTGAGCTGTTACCTGTTCATGAGTGAAAACCAACGGCCAAAAAGGGGGCCGTTTTGCGTTTTCTTGACGGATTTCTCCGCTTTTTTCGCCACTGGCGTACCATTGAGCACCACCACGTCTCCTATGAAACCTTCTTGAACCTATCGTAATCACTGCCTTTGAATGTCCTTCTATACTGAAAGAAAGCCTGTACCCACTGAACTTACCGTCTCCAAAATGTGAAGCTCTTCTCCATCATCAACGAGCTCAAGGAAGCCACTTCAAATCGTTTCAACTAAGCGTGTAATTTCCTAGCTTGAATCACGAGTGGGCAGGTGTCTATCTCCTGTGAGTCTGCTTGTATAGGACCACTATAGAACTACTAAAAACCTCAGGTAATATAGATCGATTGATTGATTAGCTGATTTCAGATGAAGCGTGAACCATCACCCAAACCCGCCGAGGCGCCCGCCGTACCTCCGTTGAATCTTCAGGCGATGATGCAGCAGATGCAGCACGCGAACCCGTTCCAGTTCATGGATCCGGCAGGAATGATTTCTGGTCAGTTATATGGTTCAATATTGCCAACTATGAACAAAGCGCTACTATTGAATATCTCAAATATGTAGGAAATGGAGTTCTCGGTGTAAAAAACGGGGGAGTCCAAAGGGTTCCCAGAAACTGGAGGACTTGAGATGTGTCATACTTTGCGAATCCAGCGATTCGCTAAGTCTGACAGCTGGAAACTATGATACTTTTGTGCAGTTTCCTGTAGTAGGCTTCTTAAAATCAGTGTTGACCAGGGTGAGCCATGCATCAAGGAGATCTCGCTGACTCACCACCCAACCACTAAATCTTATAGAATGGGTTAGTGGTTGGGTGGTGAGTTAGCCAGCTTATAGAACGAACCTTATAGAACGTCCCTTAGGACTTCAGGATTTTCACACAATTTCTGTCAGGGAATCCCTGCATCCTAACTGATGTCCGACTCCCGTTTCACAAATACAGTATCCATTCCACTATTCCTTGGCTTACGACCGCGGACCAAGGAATTCTTGACGTTGGCTCACCCTGACGCCGACTAGTAGATGAGGCCTATTACTATTCGACATCAG